AAAAAAAAAAAAAAAAAAAAAAAAAAAAAAAATTCTTCCAACTGATTAAGTCAGGCCCATACAGGATAATCTCCTTTTTGAGTAATTTAAAATTACCTGATTAGGGGCTTTAATAACATCTGCCAAGTCCCTTCACAGCAGTACCTAAATTACTATTTGATTGGATAACCAGGAGCAGGTATGTGTACGCTACAACATGGGCCCAGCCTCCCTTCCATTCTCCACCTCTTGGGAGAGAACATTACATGCAGCACACAGTAACACCATAAAAGGAATTTTGGGGACTATAGTTCAGCCTTGCAAAATTGACATATCAAAAAGCCACCATAGCATACCATATATACATTACTAGTACCACTTTAGCTACCTTGCACAAGATTTGTTACAGTGTTTTTTGTAATCAGCTAAGAACTTATTTTTTCTAATTTCCATTATTTTTTTGAGTCAACATTTTACAAATGTTTTAAAATTTCCAAACACTTGCACTTTTTCTTTTTATTGTTTCTAACATAACTGCATTGTGATCAGCCATTAGATATACTGTTGTTCCTTTAGAATATGTTGAGGCTAGATATATGGTTTAGCACACAATCAATTATATTAATATTCAACGTGAGCTTGAAAAGATTGTGTATTTTCCAAATGTTAGATACAATGTTCTATATATATATTCATTATATCACCCCTGTTAACTATTTCCAACTTGTTAGTTACTGACTTTTTTTTTTTTTCCTTTTGGTGGCTGACTGCTTTGGGGATCTGGACCTCTGACCTTGATTTTACAATACTGTGCTCAAACCAACTGAGCTAACCAGCCAGTCCTAATTACCTATTTTTTTTTTTTTTTGGCTTGCTTGATATAACATTTATTGAGAGAGGTTTGTGAAAACTTATGATGGTAGATTTGCCATTTTCTCCTTGACTTCTATTTTGGCTTTTTATTCTTTAAAGCTTTGCTAATAATGTACACAATTTAAAAATTGTTATATTATTCTGATGAATTAAACATTTTATCATTATGAAGTTACCCTTTTTTTTTTAGTCACGTTCTGTGCCTTAGTAATTGCTGGGGGGTTTTTGTTTTTGTTTTTGTTTTTATAAAGATGATCGGTAAGGGGATCTTAACCTGTGGCCTTGGTGTTATCAGCACCACGCTCCCCCAAGTGAGCCACTGGCCAGCCCTAGTAATTGCTGTTTGATATTAATATGCATGACCAGCTTTCCTTTGGCTTTATTTCATAGGTGTGATTGATTAAATCATTGGCTAATGGTGACAAACTTAAATTTCAACCCCTCTCTCCTTCCAGGAGGTTGGGGAGTGGGACTAAAAGTCCCACCTTGGTCTTTCCTGTGACCAGCCCCCTTCCTGAAACTACCTAGGGGCTGCCAGCCATCAGTCGACTCATTAGCATACGAAAAGACAGCACTTTGGAGAGCCTACGGATTTTAGTTGTGTTTAGGAGATAGGGACAAAGACCAAACATTTATTTTCACCATATCA